GAGAATCAAAAAAACACCACAGAGCAGCGACTATTTTCTTATTATTAATAGAGCAGCTTATTGACGCTTTTGATTAATTATATCCAGGCTTATCAAACAATAGGAATTATTTCCTGGTAAGGCAAAAAAATGTCAAATTTTTGTTTGTGTTTTAGTCTTTTCATTGATTCAAAATGTAGAAAAATCCATACACACACACACACAACATGTCAAATCTTCTCATCACAAATTGAAGTGCAAACGTGCTCTACCAGCTCAGCTGTGGTGTTTGGCACCACCCACACCTCAGTGGGCCCTTTTTCTGTCTGTATTTGTAGTTTGGGCAGTGGGGTTTGCTTGCTCGTTTGTTTCTCCTCCTCTCCCTTTCTCTCTTGTCTTTCAGCAGAAGAAAAAGGGAAAGAAACGGGGTGGGGAGAATAAGAGTGTATAACTGAAGTTGTCCATTGCAAATCCAACTGGAACAAAAATTTTCTGTTGTAGATAGCTTCAAAACAGATGTTTCTTTCATAATCATGCAATCAGGAGAAAAATGCAGAAAAAGGAAGTGATCGCATCCTCCCAAATGTTATGAGTTTTGTAGCATTCAAACAGACGTATTTTTCATTTTGAAAGAACTGAAAATGTGTCAAGCCGCTCTAGCTATTAACTCACACATCCAGCCTGAACTGGGATTGAAGTGATAAGCAGCTCAATATCAAGTCTGTACTGGTTACTTGGCAATAGTTTAATGATTATCTTGGATGTGATTAATGAAAAGTACTATAAAGAATAATCATGTTGCACCACACCCTGAGCTGACTTCCACCCTGTCCTGCGAAGCCGCTCTGTGCGGCAGCCAAGGTCCTATCTGGGCCGTGCAGGCAGCAAGACCCAGGCAGGACCCACCAAGGATGTCAGGAAGAACAGTAGCCTCTCCTCTTCCACAAAAAGTTTGATTTTTCCTGTATTTTGTTTCTTTTCTGAGTGTGGCAGTGAGATGCAGCCCTCGCGCAACCCACCAGGCAGTACTCTGTTGCTCAGCAACCCCGTACTTGCTGAGAGGGCTCTTTTGCAGAAGTAAGCCTGGGCTGAAGAGGAAAATGAGGTGATGGGTGATGTGACACCCGAAACCTGCCACTTAGCTTGCCCGAGCAGCAAGGTCCCTATGAGCAGATGTAGGTCAGTAGCAGAGAGGACCTTGGTGGCACTGTTGGCTGAGGAGCAGCACCTTCTGCTCCTCTGCATCTGGTCTCTTCTGAAGCATTTAGTGGTGATTACCCAAAAATAATTAATTAACCAACTAATTAAAAAAGGTCGTCTTCTCTGCAAAGCCATCTCCAGTGTCCCAGTGAGATCTAGAGTGCAGAGCTGGCATCGCGTTTGGTTTGGGGTGAGCTAGCCAGCAGTGCCGATGAGATGGGGAGAGGGGGGCTGCGAGGCTCCACCAGCGTGAAACCCACTCCCAGGGCAGCCAGAGTTGCTCAGGCAGAGGTGGGCAAGGAACTGGGGTGGGAAGAGGCAGTGGGGAACAGCTGGATTGGGTGGAGACGGGGAGGTGCGTTAAGTAAAAGGTGTGTTTCAGCCCTGGGGAAAATCAGCCTGCCCTCCCCTCTTCTCCCCCAGAGCCAGCCACAGGGGAGGGCAGGTCCTCTTCCACCTCAATGAGCACTTGGAGACCTCAGCCATACCCCTCCAAAGCCACAGCTGTTGGGGTCTGCAGAGATTGGATGCTTTTGGGACCTAGAAGCTCCACTGCCCACAGGGTTGTGGCCAGGAGTGGGGCTTTGCTGCCGGGTGGGTTTCCACACCCCTCATGGCATATGGAGAAAGGACAGATCAGGGCACAGAGGCTAAATCAGTCCTTTCACCTCTGTCGCTAGAAACCACTCCAAAAGCTTTTCTGTGCTTTGATAGGGCAGCATGTGCATTTTGGTCCGTATTAGAAATTTTTAGAAATTATAGCTTCCATAAAACTAACCAGGCTTTTCCATTAGGGCCACCAGCTCCATGTTCTCATGTGATTAATGGTGTTGCATAGACATGTCTTGTTACAAGGTTTGTGAAGGTCCCATTGGGTCATTAGGGCCAACCCATCAGCAGTGCTGACCTTCAGCAGACCCCACATGCGATCAGTGCCCTGAAAATCTGACCTGCTACTCCCACCTGGCACAGGCAGAGGATCTACAAGGCTACTGCAGACCTGACCATTTGCTACGTGACCACAATACCTACCTGCCATGTTACCAGAAGGAAAGGCAAACAAATACAGATTTGACATTACCTGCTGACAGAGGCTGCTTTCAGAAGTGCAGCCTCTCTCACAACATACAGCAAGCTACGGTTTCCAGGCTGCCATTTTAGGCTGGCTCAGAGGTGTGTGTACTCATTTTTAAGCTTTGTTCCCAGCGCCATGAGCACAACCAAGTGTTTCCTCCGCACATCAGCCATGCTCAGGGACAGCCCAGCCTGAGCAAAAATGCTTGAGGGAACGAGGGGGCTCAGACTCTGGGGGCAAGCGCAAATGCCAGCAGCAAGCTTGAGGTGGGTATGAGGAACCAGCTCCCAGTCTTTGAATAAAAAGTTGCTTTTATAGCACTTCACGTGTGATGCAGTTGTGATACACTGTAAGAAAACACAATTACAGGTGGTGTTCCTGGGGTAAAAGACAAACATTGCTTGACACATGCCTAAACTATGTAAAAGTGCAAGAACAACATGGCCACTGAGGCATCAACAGAACAGAAGTTGCGCTATCCATGTGATGGTTTTTTTGTGCTGGAACAGGGGGTTTGCTGAGGGAAAGGGCCGGTTCCCAGCCCCAGAGGCTGGAGCCCTCCCCTTTCCATGGGTCACTGTGGGGCAGTGCAGGCTGAGGCAGCCAGGAGCCCCAGTCTCTGCTCTTAAAATGGAAAACTGAAGACTGAAGGCAGGCAATTAAAATATTAAAGAAACTGAATGATATATATTTCACGTATTACATAATGAAGATAAAGACAGATTGCTGGCATTTAGTTTTGGTACCATCCGGGGAATAGCTGGGCAGGGAGCAATGTGAACAGGGCCAGCAATGCAGAGCTGCTGGCAGGAAACAGTGGGAAGGGCTGATTTCTGCAGAGGGAAAAGGAGAAATGTCCCAGCAGTAGGAAATGCCAGGGATAAACTTCTGGATGTGGGAAGCGGTTCATACCGGTATTTAGCTCTGGTATGGCTCTTTCCACCAGAGTATTTCAAAGAGCTTTATACTGCAGTATAAGGCCAAATGTGAACATGGCGCAATGCAGAGCTGTCCACTGAATGCACTTGCTGGTGTACCACCACAGCCCCTTTCCTTTGCAGCACTGGCAGGGTTCATTACATCCCCCTTCCCTCTAGCAGGGCTTGTTATCCTTGTCTGTCTGCGCTGCGCCCTGTAGACAAACCTGAAATATCACTGTCTCCATTTTGTGCATAGGGATGCATCGGGCGGTGAAGCAACCTCCCACAAAGGTACGGAGTCAATGAGAGAGCTCAGCTCTCCCAAGTGCCACAACTAATGAGCATCTGTGCTTGAAAGAGCTGCCTTGTGCTGTCAGGATGGCCCTCCTCTGGCAGCCCCTTCGGAAAGCAAGGGGCAATTGCAGAGCCCAGCATGCACCCCTGCGGCTCACGCGTCCCTTAGTCCCATCAGGCTGCGGTTAAATGCTGGAGGAGATAATAATGGATGGCTACAGTGCACCTGTTTTTCCTTTAAAAAATGTGCTAAGAAATGGCTTGCCCACGTGTTGTGAGTGGTCCAGCTGGGGGGACGAGAAGTCTCCAAAGCTTCAGTCTGCTCCTTACTGCTCCCATGGTGAGATACAGCCAAGAGAGCCTCCCACGTCAATCAAAACATGACAGCTGGGGACGGGAGAGGAGCAAAGCCTGGTGCCACCGCAGCAGCACACTGCGTGCTGCACTGTCTGGGGCCGGGGAACAGCAAGGGACGTCCCTCCAAGGTCTGCTCTCCCAGCCTGGAGCTGCCTGCAGCAGCCTGCCAGGGCCCATGCCTGCGCCCCGGCTGCTCCGGGCCCGGAAGAGGCGTAGTCCTGCGCCCAGCAACTAGGCCAGGATGGGTGGCCAGCAGTTTCCGTAACTTTCAAGTCTTTGGCCTAATGCGAACAGCTTTTGGGTGTGATCGCAGTAGTTTCTAAGCACATTCAAAACTCCTGGCAAGCTTCTACGTTAGTCCCTGTCCCTTTCTCCAGGTTCTTTCCCGTGCCAGGACCTTCAGGAAAAGGTATTCAAAAGCAAGCAAGTCTTGCTGAAAAGCCCCATTTTTTTAAGAGCAGCTTAGAGGCCGAGCTGTTACATCAGCTGGGTGTTTTGGAAAGCTTCAGGCTATCCTGCTTTCCACGGCATGAAACGCTGCAGTGCAATTGCTTTTAAACCATGCTATTTTCAAGAAACAAAACGGCGATGATTCCACCTGACAGTCCTTTCAGTGCTTCTCTGAGAAGGGGAAACTGAGCCAAGAAAGCAACCGAGAAGTCAAGCAATGGCCCATCACAAATCCAGGAATAAAGCAACGCTAAGGGTCTCACTGCTGGTAAAATGTGTGTTTCTGCCACACTATTATTCCTCCCAAATCAGTTTTTACTAAGTGTCCCGCACATGCCCTTTGCTCCAGCGACAGGATATCCTTCATTTGTCTGCACAAAGTGCAGATGAGCACTTCTTCGTGTTGTTTTCCAAGTCGGCCGATGGGAGGGTCAGCAGGGGCCGAAGCAGCTGCACCAAGTAAAGGAAAGGTAACCATGGCAACCCAAGTTATCTGCATCCTCCATGTATTTCCTTCTCCCCACCCTACATCATATCTTTCCCACCCAAATTTCAGGCTGATAGAGCCAGTGACCAGCTGGCAGGATGGGGACTGCGGCAAGGTCTCCTGCACCCAAAGCGTCTTGCTGTGTTTCAGGGCTCACCGCTGCAGGCTGAGGTCATCAAAAAGAGACTGAAAGCAGAGAGGGGTAACTGGCAAAAGGCAGAGCTCTTCCCTACTGTAGATGGGGCGCTGGATATGTTGCCTTTGCTCCAGAGTTGCAGATTCTTTGATGCTGCTCCTGGTTTTGGCTCTGAGCTGTAACCCTTCCACAGCAGCAGGAGCTTCTCCGACTGCGCCCCACATCAAACCCAGCTACAGTTTTGGCCGGACTTTCCTGGGACTTGATAAATGCAACGCCTGCATTGGGACATCCATTTGCAAGAAATTCTTTAAAGAAGAAATAAGGTCAGAAACTCAGCACAGTACTTTTTAAAGCATTCTGCATAGTAACTTGAAAGTTGCCTGTTAGTATTTCCAAATAGTTTAATGAGAGACAATGCAAAGAGTAACTTAGCACCGGGTTGCCATTACAGCGCCTAGTAATTTATTTAATTAATGTCTATAAGCTGCTGCTTTGTCTCTTTTCTTTTAAAGCCACACAAACATGATCAGACTTCAGCCCTGAATTATAATTTGAAAGCAAGAGTAAAAGGCACAACTTTCAGCATAGAGAGTGGCTCTGAAACAATTCAAGGCAGTGATGGGGGCAGGGAAGAGGGAAGGAAGAAATGAGTTTGTTTAGATGTGCTGGAAGTATTTTATTATCAGCAACTGAATAAAGGCAAAAGGGGTTTAGCTTTGTACGCTCCCAAGCGATTACGTTAACTACAAACATATAAATATGCTATATAATTTTGTACCAGGTGCAACAACACAAATGTGCAGAATTTCACATGCGTATTAACTAAGATCAAAAGTGATCTAAACCTGCCTGAGGCATGAGGACTTTTGCACATCAGGTTACCTGCATGCTCAAAAATAGACGGAGCAAAGTTATTGGTACGCTTTGGGAGGTTTCTGCAAGAACTTGAAGGCAGAGGCAGAAATTGCATCTGCCTCAAAGTCAATGAGACATATGCTGCTCAAGTGGCTGTCGGACCGATCCAATCAGTTTTAGGCTTAAAAGCAGAGTGTATCTGACGACAGCAGGGAAAATGTTGCCAGTGTATTTGAGGAGAAAGTTAAAGGCAGTGCTTGGCAGAAGAAGGGTTTATTGGGTCTGATATGATTTATAGAGCCATATGCACTTTCTTTTATAGATATAAAAGCCTGGGGGAGAAGAAATTATTATAGTAAAATTGTATTTTTAATGGTATAATGTAAGTAGTACAATATTGGACAAATCACCACTTTTATCTTAAACTATCCTATAAAATGTAGCATGGTAAAACCATAACGGTTTGTCTGGGATGGACTTGCAGTACCGAACATTCATCCTTCCCTTGCTGCCGTTGCAAGAAGGCAGCTTGTGGCTGTGCTATGCCAGAGCACCCCTCACTGTGGTGCACCAGGGATCCCAGCTCTCTTGGCTTTCTGTCTCCCCCGGCTTGTGCCGAGGGTGACGGCAGGGCATGCAGTAAGTAAGGTGCAGTGGCACGGAGAAGGGCCAGGCCAGCAGTGCTGGGTTTCTCCCAGCCCATCCCGGGCTCCTGTCCCAAAAAGCAGGATGGATTTGCAATTAGCATGTTCAGCTGGCTGACAGAGGCTGTTGTGGATCTGCAGGGGCTGGGGGTGCGTTCGGGGTACAGGCTGCCCTACATTTTATTCTGTGCAGCAGGGCAGCATGGGAGCTGGCTTGTGCCCCAACCTGCTGTAGCCCCTTTGCAGGGTTTTTAGGGACCTGCCGCCGGGTACAAAGCAGCTTCCGTGTGTGCAACTTGTCGCAGGTGCACCCTTTCGGTTACTCCCGCTTAGCTGCTGGGGAGATTGGGGCCGTGCGGCTTCCTTCATCCCTGCCGAAAATAGCAGTAGCCCTCTGCAGCGAGCAACTGCCTCTGGCTGGCCGGTGGCCAGCTGCATGCTGCACTGGGGCACGGGAGAGAGGTGCTACATGAGTAAAAGCAGGAGGCCCCCATGCTGGGTTTCCTCGGGGGAACAGCGGGAAAGGGGTGCGGGTGCACAGAGGGTTCGAGCGGGGTCCAGGAGTCCAGAGCCACAAACATGTGGGAGCACGAAGCTTCTGCCTCAAGGAAGGTAGAGGGGCTTCCTAAACCAGAGAGCTTTTTTTTTCTCTCCTGCAAGCCCACAGTCGGCTTCCCACAAGCAGTGCAGCACACAAATAAGTGATAACATACAGTTCTGCTCTGAGTGCTTTGGGAAAGGTAACTTTTAAAAATGTTCTCCTGAGCAGTCAGTCAGCTTCAGGCTTTTTTTTTTTTTTTTTTGCAGGGGTTAAACTTGTTCTCCCACTTGATTTCTTGAACAGCCAGAATTTTTTGGCAAGTGGAAGGTTAAAAGGAGGAAATTTCAGTGGCACTTATGCTCTTCGATCCACCCCCATATACCTTTTCACATGTTCACAGAGGTGGATGGCACTTGGCCCTTCTCTGTGTTAATCCTCATTAGAACATGCTTCATTAATTCTTCATCATTTCCGGGAGCTGTGACATGCATTCACACTCGAATAACGAATAAGAAGATGTGGGTTTTGTTCCCAGAACGGCTGGTGACTCATCTTGTGCTCTAATGTTCTTTACTTCCCTTATCTTTGCCCAACTTTATCCATCTGTAAATGAGAATACCAAACCCTGCCTACCAACTGTCCTGAGAGCAGAGGGCAGCAAAAGTTTTCATAAAATAATAGATTTTCAAAACACTGCGAAACTGAGCTGACCAAAACTATTTGCGGACTTGTGCCAATGCTGGCGATGAGCTTGGGCCAAAAGTAATGGGAAGGAAGTCTGAAAAAGCTGGAATGCTTCAATTTGATGGGTTTTTATATGGCATTTCATTATTTTTGGTTTTAAGGCTTAACTTACTTAATTTTCATCTTCTGAAAAAATATAAAATTCCAAATGCAAGCGAAATTATTTTGGCTGAAACAGAATACTTCATTTCATCCAGGAAAAAAGAAAAAGAGTTTGATTTTCTTCAATGTTAAGTTCTGGGTTGATCTAAAATCTGTAATCTGTGACTCAACTATTCACACAGATCTTACTGAAAGTCTTAAAGCACATTCAGGCCCTGAGCTAAAAAGCTTCATACAAGAGTGAATTATTGTTACAGCACAACTTGATGATGAATCTTGAAAGTATCTAGCAAGTGTGCCAGGCCAGTGCTGTGCTGCCCAGAAATGATGCCAAATACAGAATTGCTGCGGCCCATGCTGGGTTCCCAGGCCCGCGTGGCTCTCCCCGGGGAGCTCTGCGGAGGAAATTGCTCCATCCATGTTCAAATTAATGCTCAGCCGTGGATTTCACACATCCATGCACTGCTTGCATGCGGGAGGCGGCGCTTTCCTGATATGTGCCTGACGTGAGCTCCCCTGAACACATATGCTTGAGCCAAATCACAAGGCACGTTTGTGCTTAACTTAAAAAGAAAGAAAGAAAGAAAGAAAGAAAGAGAGAAAGAGAAACCCAGCCCATAGCCACCTCTTCCCTGTACGTGCCTGGCACACTGGGCCTGCTTTGCAGATGAGGCACTGGGAGGGGTCGTGATGCACAACAAATCACAGTGAGGCATAGTGACTGTTCTCTGCTCTTTAGTCCTACCTCAAAACCAAACAAACAAACAATAAAAAACCACCAAAAAACAAACAAAGCGTTTATTTACATGTCAGATTCCCTGACAGGGAAGCTTCAAGTTCATATTGGGCAAAACGCCCAAATGACTGAAATGTCTGAACCTGCTCACACAAGCGGCCCGGCTCCTCCGCTTCTGGCCAACCTGCATCTCTGTGGCAAATCTTTTGAAAGAGGTATGTGGCTAGAGCCAAAAGCCAAAGCAGGGCAAGGACCAGCGTTTTGGGGAGACAGGCTTTCCCTTCCCTGGGCACCCATGCTTGACCTGGAGCCGAGCTGCACAGGCTGCATGGTGAGGAAGTGAGGTGCTGCCTTCAAGAGGGGCTGTGTGGAGGATGACGGTCGGTCTCTGATCACGGAGGGCGGCTAGCATCGCCAAGTCAGTTATTTGCCTGAAATCAGGGGAAATTAATCCCCCCAAAATTTCTCTGTGCTGGAAGTCAAAAGGAAAGATCAGCTTCAGCTTTTGGGTTTAGTATCTTTTCATCTAACTCCAGCTTGCTGATCCTGCAGGGAACCTCTTGCCTCTCCTATTTCACTTCTGAGCTATCAGCATTAATTTATGGTGAGATTAAATTAGGATGTGCTTTCTTACACATTCGGGCAAGGAGGTTAGTTAGGGCAGGAGGTTTTCAAGGCAGGGAATGCATGACGTTGGCCAAACCAAAGGTCAGAGTTCAGCTGCTTTCCAAGAGCAGGCTACAGATATACTTACAAAACAGGCGCCACGCTCCTCAGCTCCTGCATGTGCAATGCGTGTGTGGGCAGGGCTGAGGGGGCTGCTGAAACAAAAAAAAATTGTCACAGCCTAATTACCCGGCCCATATGCTCCCCTCCTGTGCCTGTGTAGGGGGAGCAAATTAGTGCAAGATCTCCATGGCTACAGTGGTGCCAAACACCTAGGGCACGCATCCCCCACCGCCCCATCGCACCCCAAATTCTGCCACTGCCTGGGGAGGTCACTCATCCCTGCTGCTGAAATACAGCCAGTGACATTGGGGGGGCATCTGTCGACCCCAGTACCGAGTAAGGGCACCACCTCAAAACAAAAGGTCATTTTGATATTCCCAAATACATTTATTGTCAGGAGGTTTTGTTCTGCAGAGTCCCTTAAAGTGTCAAGTACTCCTTTTCGGGCCCCTTTCTCCAGGATTAAGGAAATTTAAAAACTCCAGGGATTCCCTGTGAACCAAGATCCTGCGGCCCTCTCCCTTCTCTTCCTCTCCCTATGCGGCCCGCAAGACCCCGTCTGGGCATTTCGCCCCCTGCCCCATGGCACTGTTCATGATAAGGGATGGTTTAAGCAGGAAGCAGAGACAGCCTTTTTTTCTAAAGCATGTTTCCTCGGCTGACAGCTTCCGCCGCACCCCAGAGCTCAGGGCCGCCCGCCCATGGCTGCTCGGCCTTTGCTGCGCAATGGCAGAAAGTCCCTGGGGCTGGCGTGCGGCGGAGCAACTGTGGCGGCGCTGGCGCTGTGTGGGTGTCTGTGTGGCTTGTTAACCCGCTCTCCGTGGGGCTCTCGTTTTGGTTTGGCAGGTTTGACACCTGGCTTTCTTCTCGTTTAAAGCTGCCCCCCAGCTACCTGCTCAGCTACTCGGGCAACTACACCGACGATGCCAAGAGCTGGCGGCTGGTCGACATCACCCGGCTGACCACCAAGTACCAGCACGACCGGGCCGACAAGCGCATCTGCACCTCCCTGCTGAAGACAAAGACCTGCAGCCTGGAGCATGCCCTGCGCCGCACGCACCGCTTCCAGAAGTGGCTGCGGGCCAAGCGCCTCACCCCTGACCTCGTCCA